ACTGAGTACGGAATGACATGACTTAATACTGCAAGGGGAAGTTGCTGTTCTCAGAGAGTAACTATGCAAGAATGGTGGAACAAGTTACACAGGACAATCTCATGTCATACATTGGAGACTTACGATCATCACGGTTCCTGCACACTTAAGAAGTGGGATGCTCACGCTGCCCCACAGTTGGCGTGGTGGCTGGCTTGCCTGCTGCTGGTGCAGAACGAGAGTCTGCATGTCCGCACTCCCAGCTTTCGTTGCAGGTGGATACAGTAAGTATTTTGGCTGTTGAATATTACTGTTGGGGTTGGACGATGGGAAGCTCAACTATATAGTAACATATAGTAACTATATCATATCCCAAAAAAACAATTGACGGGTGCCCAAACCCATTTGACCGGCTTCGCGGACTGAGCTAGGCACATGGTTGATACGGGTGTCTACATCACTGCCATAGCGGGACTTGTGAAATGTTCGAACGCCTTGGACCATTTGTCCATCTCAAATGTTAAGATGAGAAAAGATGCATACCTCCACCCCAAATCACCAGAATTGGTCCAGTTTGGTAGGGAATTTTCCATAATTTTCCCCTACCCACAGACCACTCCCAAGGCATTGGATTATGTGGCTTTAGCTGGCTCCAGCTGAACACCTAAGGTGTTCTTTTTGTCCATGGACCAATCTGATCGTGACAACCCAGCCCCAGATGGCTTGGCACCTTTTGAGACGTGCCTTCTGGACATCCGTGGCTGGAAGCTGTGCCCTGGGTGGACCCAGTCGCAGCTGGGGATGCTGCGGATGCTACGTGAGGTGAGGGTCGCAAGCGTCGCCGTGCCGGAGGCGAAGGGATCCCAATCGCAGTTCAGTGCAGCCGGGGATGTGGGAGCTGAGATCAGCAAACTGTGCCATGGTCCCCTCTTTTGCGGAGCATGTGCTTGATGTGGCCCTGGCTGAAGCAGATGCTGAAGGCATCCGATTGTCTAACAGCTCTTCGGATTTATCCCCGAACCTCACAGTCTCATCTGCAACAAGGAATCGATTTCAATGATCTGTACAAATGCAAGCGGCTGCAGTTGTGCAGTTGCAACCGCAGATCCTGTTGATGGATAAACACAGCACCAGAAGACTTAGAATTCTCATAGCACTCTATGAATCTTGGTGTTATGATTTGTTTAGTGTCCCCGGTGTACTTTGTTCATTTTGTTCATCATGTCCTCCATGAACAGTATCTGCTCTCCGGTGCTGTCCGGCAAACCAAAGGGATTTGCAGTCAGTCTGGCAGGGTGGCAGTGTCGCATTCACCTGTGATTCTATAGTTACTATAGTTTGCTTTTGCAAGACATCCTACATAGTTCCAGTGTATTTTAAAGGGCGATTGTTTCGTACCCTGCAGACAACAGCAGCACCGATTCAAGGAGCCCTTTGGCGCCATGTGCCAATGCTGGCAGAAGATGAGATTTCATGACCATCCCCAGATGCAGAAAAGATCAAATGCCACACCGTGCCACGAAAGGTGAAGGGTTGGTTTCGGACACCAGTTTGTGAAACCTTCATGATTCTTAATACCTCTGTTTAATTTTGTCGTCGTCATCATTATCACAATCATCTTCGCGGTTTTGCTGGATATGGCTATGGATCAATACCTATACATACCATTTTTAGGGGGATGAACATCCATTTACCAGCTATTTTGGGGTTCACCAGGGGTACCAGGTTTTGACACATCCAAAAACAGGACGGTTCAACACGGTGAGGCCTCGATGACTCGCTGCTGCCGCAGCCGATTGACCGTTGCCGAAACGCGGGTTTTTCAAGGGGATTACAGATGAACGGAAGACTGGTGAAGCTATGGGATTTTCGCTCGAATTTGGATGCGCATTTTTTTTTTAAATGTAGAAACCAACATTATTTTTGCAGAATGATAATCCAACAGTGGTCACAGTGCCGCGGCAGCCATTCCCATCGAAAGGTGAGGAGAATATAATGAACACGGGGAGAAACCAGTGAAAATGTATCAACATTTTGTTGGGCAGTGCGAATTTTCATCATATTTTTCAAACCATGGTGATTTCAGAATCATGGATGCTGCTTGATGCAGCCCAGGTTCCGCAACTTTAGATCATATATCAACCGTTGCAGGATTGGGATGCGAAGCGACGGTTTGAACGACGCTTTGACGAGGGCTTGATCGTTGAGGTTGAGCCCCTTGGCCACCTCCATCATCCATTTTTTTGGGTACCCATGGGTACCCCATGGAACCATGGATCCATGGAACCCCCCTGAGGATTCACCTCACAGAAATCATTAAAAACATCAGCTGTGGACCACTTGGCCGAGGCTTATGGGGCTGGGCAAGTGACTTCATTGACTTTCGCAAAAAAAAGGAAACTTGGGTCGCTTGGGAGCCTTTGGGGCAAGGATGATGGATGTAGATGTGTGATGATCAGGGGTATCCTGCAGCGACATGCTTTGTTTTTTTTCCATATTTTTGTCCTTGGGCAAAGCATCTAGAAATGGAGGAAAGGCCCCGGGTCACGCGCCCTTTTAGGACGGCTTGTACTCCCAACTGCCCAAGTCGTGGCGAAATCCCAAAAATCTTGAAATTAGCTTGGGGGAAGGCTTTTGTGGAAGTCGTGGCGATGCGGCGTTTAGCTTGTGTTTAGGGTAGGTTGCTGTTTTACTATCTCATGTAGACCTAAAGTGGCGAAGCGGCGTTTAGGTTGTGTTTGGGGTAGGGCGTTGTTTTACTATTAGCATAGTGCTTTAATCTTGCTAGTTGCGTTCTCATTGTGTTTGGGATGGTTGCTGTTGGGTTCTGCAGCTACTGGGGTCTTGCTGTTGCTGCGGCTGCTGGTTCGACGGCTGCTGCTGTTGCTGTTTCCGGGTACTTCTACACAACGCTGGGATTATCATCTCTACACTGCTATGTCGGTGTGCTGGGATTCTGCATATTGTCATTGTTTCGCTACCAGTGATCCAAGGAAGGGCAGGTTTGCGGCTTGCGGGCCAAAGTCCATGTGTGTAGATGCGGGCTTTTTCCGTACCTCGTTTTGACCTCGTTTTAGACCTCGTTTTTTTCCTTTATCAGAACCCATCCTGCAGTATACAAACTAGGAAAAGGGCCTGCTTCGCGTTTTCGTTTGTGGGCGTCAACAGTGCCCACGAAAAAAGGGCCCGTTGGAAACCGGCGTTCCGATGGGATTCGATCAAAACGAATAGAACCATGATAGTTTGGTCAAGGCTTGTTAAAGCTAGCGTTTCCAATGGGGAAAGGGGTTTTGCAAGGTCTGTGCCGGGACAGGGGTCGTGGCGAGCGTTTTGATTGGGAATAGCTGTCAAACGCAAACATTGCAAGGACTTTGGCGTATGGGTGTAGGTGCCAGCTACTTGAGCTACCTTGCTATCCACGCCTGGTCCAGTTGGGAATCATTTGGCGAACGGCTTAAAGGTGGTCTTGGGAAGATATTAGACAAATCATCCACGTCATTTCAAGATTGCAGCAGCCTTTTCATAGACATGTGTGACATGTGTGACATGTATGAGATATGACTGGGTGGAACTCCGATAGCTCGTCATCAAAAGATCTCTGTAAGCGACGCCAAGAGACTGGCCATCTCTGCCTTCCACTAACGCGCCGTGTGTCGCTTCTGCCATGACAAACTACGGTGCCTGGGACCGAAAGGCAGCTGCGAGCTGTAAGATTTGAAGTCCAGCAGCAATAATTTGGGATCACCAGCAGTCATTGGGTCCCACTGGGGAAAATCTTTGAAATATGGAGATGGAAAACCCGCCATAGTGCCGATGGTCATACCAACGATCAAAATCTTGGCAGGCTGATGCCTTGTGTCGAGAAGCAGAGGAGGAGGCAGTCTCTACAGGGCTTGTGGGAAAGCAGTGAGGTCAAGGGGTGCAGGTTTACCATGCAACAGGACTATTATTTGTTTATATTATATTATATTATATATATAATATATATATATATATATATATTATATATTATATATATATATTATATATATTATATATATTATATATATTATATATATTATATATATATTGTGTCTACGATTGAGATGTTGTGATCAGTGACAATGGGGCTAATCAGCAAGAAATCGGGCTCATATGTTTCTGCTAGTCTGCCCAGGTGTCAGCTGTTTTTGGCACTGGTTCCAACCATTTCCAATCACTTAGCCCTGTAAAAGAGCTGCTTTTTTGTGCATGACTTGTGAGTTCTCATTTGAAGAACATATCCGCATCCATTGTTTGCAGTGCTCCGATAGTGCCATTGTTTTTTGCCGCGCTGGGAGGAGAAGAAGGAAACGGCTGCCTCCAACCAGGCCACGAGTTGCTGGAAATGGTGTTGAAGGAATGGGGCAATGATCGAATTCAGAGAAATCTAGATGTTGAAGTGATTGGTATCCATTGGTATCTAGATGTTGAAATTATCTAAATAATGGGGCCATTCTTTAAGCTTCAAAATGGCCAGAAGTTGGATGAAACACTCACTCCACCAACAAAAAACCACCAGGCTCTGGGCCTTGAAGAAGGACCGAAGGGTCCCCCAACAGCTCAGGCAGGGTCAACAGTTACTGAGGTTTCAGCAAAACATAGGGGGATATCCTTCGTCCAACATGGGGATATCAGCAAAAGTGGATAAACTGATAAACTAACCACTCAAACTTGGGTCAAAGTCCGAAGTCCTCCAATTTGATAGTTTCCGGGACTTTTTTGCAAGTTAGATTTGAGCATGAAACGAAGCCACTTTTTGCGGCTCAAAGTTTGATCTGGTCACATGTGGTCACATTCTGCTGGTAATGGAGTTTTCCGCTGCACAAAGAGCTCCATCAAAGATCATAAAAACACACTAAAGTTGTGCAATGAGGGACAAAATGATATCCCGTTCAAATCCGTTCAACATTTTCCCGATGTGTTTTGAATTTTGGCACCTGGCCATGCTTTGCAGGCCGAGAAGGAACTCAGCAATCTGGGAGCCCATTCTAAGCAGCGCAACGACTTCATTGCCCTGATCTCAGCATTGGCTCCACAGCTCCACGGCTCCACATTGGCGTCACCTTGCGATCACCTCGCGTCACCGCGTCACCAGGCTTGGCAACAGGAGCGCGAGGTGACTTTGACACACACAGAGTGTCCATCGCAGGTGGGGAACCACAACCGGTGACAAAAAACGAACCCTTTAAAGGTGGGGTTCGGAAAATCATAGAAAGTGATGTTGCTGGCATGAAATGGTCATGATGCATATGATGCATATGATGCATATGATGCATATGATGCATATGATGCATATGATGCATATGATGCATATGATGCATATGATGCATATGGTTCTACGGGATATGCTTAGCAGCTTAGCAAATGCTGTCTTTTATTGCGACTTGGCCTCACAGGATGGGACTGTGGACCTCTCTGAGTACAAGGGCAAGGTACGGCGTTACGGTGGCGGATGTCCAAGATGGATGTTAAGATTTGCTTCATGGGAACACTAAAGATTGGATGCTTAAAGACTGAACATGACTGATATCAGTTATATAGTGTAGGTGTCATATATATTCTTATACAAGTGTTGACTCCTGTCCACATTCGCACAACAATTGGATTCGGAACATAAGGTGTTTGAAGCACCCTCTGTACAGATTCTTGACTTTGAACGTTCCATTTGAAAACCAATAACCCCCTTAACCATGATTATTGTGGGTTGTGATGTCTGACCGAAGCAAAGCTCAGGCCATTCGCCTCAAGGGCTGTAGAGGCAGGTTTTCTGGTCAGCAATGTAGATTGGAATTGGGGGTGTTCCATTTTCAGACAAACCCATATACTATATTTTCTCTTTCCCGTCCAATGTTTACTGGAGGATGGTTCCAATTGACGAACTTAGGGATGGGTTTGAACTCACCAAGCCGCTTGATTTTGATCAGGTGTGAACTATGTGGTGCCCTGTAGCGGTGTGTGGTCTCCCAGTCTGACTTTCGCGGGGGGGTGAAGGTGGGGATCCAACGGTTGGGCGATTTTCCGGGGCCTCGTAGCTTCAGGTGTTGAAGCTCATGATGGACAGCTGCAGCAGCAATGCTCAGAGTTGGGCAATTGGTACAGCAAACTCTTGGAGTTGAAAATGCTCCAACCTACCAGGTTTTGATCTTGGGTTCGTGATTTTGATCAGGCTTTATGTTGCGAGCACTGAGTACTGCTCACAAGTAGATGACTGGACATTGGGACCATACGTGGCAATTCATTTGCCGCTAGATCAGCCAGCTTCGGTGAATGATGCGGGAAAGTCATAGAAAGTCACATTCTCTTGCTTGAAACTCAAATGTCGATGCTTGGAACATCCCTTTTTCCAAAGGTGTCTCATTTTTCATCATCATTTTCATCTTCATCTTCATCATCATCATCATTATCATCATCATCATCATCATCATCATCATGATCATCATCATCATCATCATCATCATCATCATCATCATGAGATGGTGGTTAAATGGGACTTAATGGGACTTTAGTGGGATTTAATGGGGAACATAATGGGGAACATAATGGGATATCATCATCAGCTTAATTCAGTTGCTTCACCCCCAATTTTTGAATGGAAACAACTTCCATTCAGCTGAGGTGATGTGCAGCTGCACCTGCAGGGCTCCTTGATCACCTCTACGGTGCAAGCGCTAGCATGGGGGATGGATGTTAACCAACAGATGGAATTTTTTTAAGTCCATGTTCAACCGCGATTTTAAAAAAAATCCAACGAAAAATTGATAGGGTCTTATAATCAGAATTCTTTTTGATGTTTAACAATCCAAAAAATGGAATTTAGCCTATATATAGTGATTTCAAAAATGATGCGTACCCCAATTTTGTCATGTTATGATTGGAAAAATGACTAGAAACCATTGGAATTCGGACCCCACATTTCTTCTGTTTTGAAGATTGTTGCAAAGATTCCAATATATACATATCTGTACATACTTATCGAATTTCTTTTCATCGGGGCGACGTTCACGTCCTTTAATTCCTGCTACTCATTCTGAACTCCGTAGGGGTGGTATTTGTTGATTCGGATGACGTGGCTGGGCTCCAATTTAATTGTTGATTTGTGCCATACTAGGTGCAGAGATGTTGACTCAATTTCACGCAGGGTTTTAGAGCTTTCACTGGCATAAAACAAGTACCAATACTACTGTTTGTTATTGTGGCTATGATCTCATAGTAGGGGGATGAACATCAGAATCTGATATCGATCGTACTACTGTAGCCATAATATGTAGATGTAGAGGAATCCCCTTGAGCCATGTCGTTGGCCAATACCGCCCCCCCACACCTGCAGCGTCGTCAACCCTGGCCAGTTGGAGCTCTACAAGTGTCAGCAAGTGGAGGTCACCTTGGTTCGGAGCCCTGTGAGTCGGATGGCTTTTGGGTTCCCTTTCCAAGCTGGGTTTCTCAGTTTAAAAATTAAATCACTAGAGAAAAACATCAACTGGGGATACATCCCCATTTTTTTTCAATGTTTGAATGGCCCTTACCTTGGGATAAACACACCATTTCTGGATAACCACCATCCCAGCTGAGGACCAGCCCTTGGGCACATTGCAGGTGGACGAATGTCCCGAAGCGCTGCTGGTGCGCTATGCGGAGAGGGACTTTTTTGGCCCGGTCACCCGTGGCAATGGAGCGGAGGTCCCCCAAAATGGCGGATTTGAAAGGAGTCACCCCAAATCTATGGCCATTCGAAGTGTGGAGAAGGATGGAGAATGTCTTTCCTAATATTCTTGGTTTCTTCGGAACATTTTCAGACAAAACCATCTTAATCCTGTTCAGATCCGGTCTGGGTCTAGTCGCTTGTGCTGAGGCAAGGCCTACCATCAGAACTCGTGACTTGGCTCTGACATTCCATTTTGCTTGTACTTCTAAAATAAACACAAGAGGTGCACCCCGGGAATGTTATATGGCCACAAGGATCATATTAGGATTAGGCCAATATGTATGAAACCTCAGGAGCGGAGTAACCAAGGAACCACCAATAAACCAAGGCCAGGATTCGCAGTAGCTTGGGGCCTGGCCGGCGGGTCGGCATGCTCACAGACAGCCGGGAATCTCAATCTGGAGAAGTGTTTGAGGGAAATCTGCAAGAATAACAATGTATTTGGCAAAATCCTCTGATTTCCTGTAGATTTTCCTAAAACTTAAAACCAATTCATTGAGACAATTTTGGTTTGGAGCTATTTGGAGATAATGTTCTTGAAGTAGCCCTGGAGAATCTGAAGCAACAACTATCCAGGGAGAGCCTATCAGCCTATCTTGGCCCCTAAAAAATCATTGTAATCATCAAACCCACAGCCGTTGTTCCAACACATTTTGAAAGCAACCCTTGGTGGGGCCAACTACTGAACCACCGAGATTGGTCGTGAGGGGCCGTTCCAGCTGATGAGCTGCCATGGACCCAGTTGCGGCTGTTGCAGGGTGCGGTATGTGACACCAACAACAGCCAAAAAATGGGGGTGTGAACCAGAAAAATGAGAATACTCATGAGCTAAAGGCTCATCAGCGCTGCTTCCAACAGCTCTTGGGCCCCGCCTTCGTTGATGGGCTGAGGTATCGCAGAGGGTTCCCTCCAGACGGAGGCTGTGAGACGTGGAGAGATGGAGTTCCCGTTGGCAGCGGGACCCCAGAGAATTGATGGCCTGGGGATGGCGGTTTTTTCGGGTGAAAAGTGCCATATCCGGGCGCACAGGATTTTGATTCGCAGGACAGGGGATCCCCTGTAAACCTATGGCCAAACAAACTGAAAATGTACTGAGGATTTGGGCCTTGCCAAGAAACAAGATCAGCCGGAGCCCGAGGCTCGCCGATGATTTGCACATCCAAGGATTTTCTCCAACATTGGGAACAATGGTAGAATGGATGAATGGACCCTGGTTTCCACATTTGCACCAATCCAAAAATCACAATTCATTTTGAGGTGAAGCCGAGACACAATTCATGATTGTGCCTTTGTTGTGATTTTGAAGCATCCTACTGCATTTTGCATACATGGCCCTAGTATTGTTGGTTATCTCAGAAGTTGTAGTGTTTGAATTCTCACTGTGTATTTGGCCATACTTCATTTTGGCTGGTGAAGGTTGCAGTGGAAATAAACAAAATGTCCGGAACGACACCAAACCACCAACCGAAAGCAAAGTAGCCAGTCACAACTGAAGAAGAAAAGACAAGAATAAGGTATCAGCACATAATAGACTACCTGTACGCAAAACTGTTAAACTACCTCAGTGATGATGTGTTTTTACAAATTCTTGAATCACTATCCAAACAGACAACAACAACAATAACAACAAGAAGGACAAGAAGAACAAGAAAAATACAAAGAGCGAGAAGAACGACAAAGAAGAACAATAAAGAGGAACAACACAGAAAAAAAGAAGACGAAAAAGAAGAACAATTCACCTGACTCATCCAGCCACCACAAAAGCTTTGAAAGTTCAACGTTAAAAGTTAAAACTCATAAATCCCTACAACAACTATATGAAGGACACACTGCAGCAGCAAGGAACATACGTTTAGCATCAACATGACTCACGACAGACAACGTATACTCTTAGTTTTTCACCCTTTTGCTGCGTTGTGTTCTTCTTCTTTTGATATCATGTTTATCAGTAATACCCCGGTGGAACATATACACAGTTAATCATAGTTATATATATATATAGATATATAATTACAATCCATATGGAGGTTTTCTAAAATGGGGGTACCCCTAAATCGTTCTTTTTAATGGGATTTTCCATTATAACCAACCATTTTGTGGAAATCACCATTTATGGAAATCACCATATATTGAATATTGGTTCCTTGGTGACCACGGTGAGCACCCACCAGCACCCACCACCCACCTTGGTGAGCCGCTTGGCCCCGGAGGCCCTGCCGGCGGCAGAGGAACGACAGAAGGAGGCTGAGAGACAACGCATGGCGGGCAACGAGATGTCCCGATGGCTGCATTGAGATGACCGGCCGTGCACCAACGAATATGTGATGTAATATATATATATATATATACATATACATATACACATACAGTATACAGTATAAATTACATTACATACATTACATTTACATTTACATTGCATTACATTACATTACATTACATTACATACATTACATATCATTACATTACATTACATTTCATTACGTTACGTGACATTACATTACATTATATTACATTACATACATTACATTACATACATTACATACATTACATACATACATTCCATTACATACCATTACATACCATTACATACATTACATACATTACATTACATTACATTACATTGCATTGCATTGCATTACATTACATTACATTACATTGCATTGCATTGCATTACATTATATTACATTACATACATTACATACATTACATTACACTACACTACACTACATTACATTACATTACATTACATTACATACATTACATTACATTACATTACATTTACATTACATTACATTACTTTACATTACATCACATTACATCACATCACATCACATTACATCACATTACATTACATTACATTCCATTACATTACATTGCATTACATTACATTACATTACATACAATACATACATTACATTGCATTGCATTACATTACATTACATTACATACATTACATTACATTACATTACATTACTTACATTACATTACATACATTACATACATTACATACATTACATTACATTACATTACATACATTACATATTACATATTACATATTACATATTACATATTACATATTACATATTACATATTACATTACATTACATTACATTATATTACATTACATTACATTACATTACATATATTACATACATACATTACATACATTACATACATTACATACATTACATACATTACATACATGCCATACATTACATACATTACATACATTACATACATTCCATACATTACATACATTACATACATTAATTACATTACATACGTTAATTACATTACATACATTACATTACATTACATTACATTACATTACATACATTACATACATTACATACATTACATACATTACATACATTACATACATTACATACATTACATACATGCCATACATTACATACATTACATACATTACATACATTACATACATTACATACATTACATACATTACATACATTACATACATTACATACATTACATACATTACATACATTACATACATTACATACATTACATACATTACATACATTACATACATTACATACACATACATTACATACATTACATACATTACATACATTACATACATTACATACATTACATACATTACATACATTACATACATTACATACATTACATACATTAATACCTTCATACCTACATACCATACATGCCATACATACCATACATTACATACCATACATACCATACATACCATACATACCATACATACCATACATACCATACATACCATACATACCATACATACCATACATACCATACATACCATACACGTACCATACACGTACCATACGTACCATACGTACCATATACGTACCATACGTACCATACGTACCATACGTACCATACGTACCATACGTACCATACGTACACGTACCACGTACCATACGTATACGTACCACGTACCATACGTACCATACGTACCATACGTACCATACACGTACCATACACGTACCATACGTACCATACACGTACCATACACGTACCATACACGTACCATACACGTACCATACACGTACCACGTACCATATACGTACCATATACGTACCATATACGTACCATATACGTACCATATACGTACCATATACGTACCATATACGTACCATACACGTACCATATACGTACCATATACGTACCATACCATATACGTACCATATACGTACCATATACGTACCATATACGTACCATATACGTACCATATACGTACCATATACGTACCATATACGTACCATATACGTACCATATACGTACCATATACGTACCATATACGTACCATATACGTACCATATACGTACCATACCATACCATACCATACATACATACCATACATACATACATACATGCATGCATACATACATACATAAATACATAAATACACACATACATATACACATGTATGGTATTTATATGTATGATATATATACAGTATATAGTATATATATAGTGATTTATGTGTACCAATATTGTTATAGAAAAATAAATTTATTGACTACTAGTGTGATGTCAATATATCTAATCTTGTAGTATAATATACATGAATATATGACTTTACACAATACATACATATGTATGTATATATATATACGGGTATATATAGATATATATACACTATATACACGTGGAACCATTCGCTATAACTCAAAAGCTGATAATGGGAATAGAATGAATATTTCAGCATTTACCAAGCAGTAGGATATGAGCAACCGAGAAAGGCTTGGCTCATATATGACTACAATCGAACCATTTGCTAATTTCATCAGGGCAACATTTTGCTGGTAAAACCTGAATCCCGACGTTTTAGCTTGCTTGCTGGTTTGCTTGTCAAGTCACCAATTGTTTTCTCTGCATGAGTTTTTCCAGAATTGGGTATGCCGGTATACCTGTAATCCCTAAATTTACCATGCTTTCATAGGAAAAATTATTGTCTTTTATTCTGTTGGAATTTAGACACTTGTTGTTGATTTGAGCGGTTATCACAATTTCCATCAATTTCCCTCTTGAGGGGTTCCAAATCCAGCTTCCTTTCTTTGCGGGGATATTAGGATATTAATCAACATGTTTGATGTTTGCAAATTATGATTGTATATTGCACAATTGTTTGTATATTTATTACTAACATCAACCATCATGAATTCATACAATCAGTATATACCATGATGATATGATGCTTCATGTTTATATAATCATCAGTGTCCAGTAAATAAATGCTTCTATATGATATTTACAGATGAAATACACCATCAACCATCATCAATAAGCACCATGGACCATTCGCCAGTATGATCCATGGCTGACATTTCCCAGGTTCCGTGCCAGCGACTTTGCCCAAGCCGCAGCGCTCTACAGCTTGGCTTTGGAGAAGGTGGCTGCGGTGTTTTTTTGCTGAGAGCTATTGAAAATGCCATGGTTGGTGAATGTAGGGAATTAGCTAATTGAGTTGGGATTATGATAGCCCCAAACAGCAGGGATTTCAGGCAGAGTCAGGGTGAGAAAAAGTGGGTTTCGTCGCAAAAACATGAGGAACTCTGCCAGAATCAGGGAATTTAGATGGATTCTTTTCACCAAAGAAAGTGGTTGTTTCAGGCAAAGATGAAGTCAAACAAGCAACATGGGACTTAATTGCCCAAACAATGCCAACAAAATCAAGAGCTGAAAGCCCCTATTTACTCACCATCCTCTGATTTAAGGAGTTCATGAGCATCTTGCAACTCAGTTGTGAACAGGATAGACCCCACTTATATGTGGGGTTTGAACCATACAAATACGAGTTGAAATGCACATCAAAGCACTGTACTTTTTGTGATGATTTAGGGTGGAAGTTGCAGTGTCCAACAAACTGCTCCAGAACCGCATCGGCAATCATCCCCAAGATGGGTCTGAAATTGGGGTATAGATGGTCTAGTATAGTAGATATTTAGATAGATATAGTAGTCCATATACCCCTTTAAAGTTGCCATTTGCATAGGGGAACATGCCAATAAAATCCAATAAAGCCATAAAGCCAGGGGATTTTGAGGGCACCCAATTGACCAATGGCCACCTTTCCAGGCTCCAGAGATGGGTAGCGTGTGGGCCAACCGAGCCCAGTGCTGGTTGAAACTTGGAGATCATGAGAAGGTGGGATTTGGATCCAACTTGGAATCAGGAGATCTTATTTCTTGCACCTGGTAAACAGAAAAAAACCTAGGTTCTTTTGATGGACTTTTTCTGGGAAAAAGTCCTTCACCCAGAAAAACGTCATTTTTGGGTAGCCACTCCCATTTTGTTCAGGCCCTGGCTGATGCCAAAAAGTGCACCGAGGTGGGGGGCGAGAGTTGATTGTGTCAAAAACAGCACCCCAAAAACCCATGTGCTCCCGAAATTGGACTATGAATGATAAGATCTAGTGATAAAATGATAAAATGTGATAAATTCTTTTTCTATCCAAATAGATCCACTTATAGATATTAAGATCCCATGCAATCAGTGGTACGACTTTTTTTGTGCTTTTAACCACCAGACAGCGGCAAAAAACTCGTGCTTGTTCCTGGGCAAATTTTGACTCACAACCATGGCAGGTGGAGCCAACTAACCCCAAGGGTTGGTTCCGGCAGGGCATGAGTCGCGTCCCAAGCACTGTGGAGGGCCTGTGCCCTCCTTTCAAACCTTGGCGGCTTGCGCCCTCCGAGGTTTACACGCTATGAAACGATATGCCGAAGCGATCCCTTTTCTGCTGGAGGCTGCAACTTGTGCAGGATTTCTTCCACTAAGATGAAATTGGTCACTTCTGTGACTTCTATTCTTGCATGGGGTCTATAGTTTTGAGCCATACTCACAGATTATGTTGATTTTGCCCCTTTCCCGCAAGTCCAACCAGGCTGAGAAACTGGAACCGAGCAACAAGCAGATTCAAGATGCCATCAAAATGGTGCGGAACCAAAATAACCTGGGCTGACAAGCAGAGAAAATGATGGCTGAGTTGGCTAGTTGCACTGGGGAAACATGGGATGCATCACTTTCCCCAACAACCAGGATGGGTTTTTGATCTGAGGCACAAATGAAGGCGAGGAACAGCGCCTATGCGCAGAGCCAGTGAAACATAACCGCATTATTTGCTTCTTTCTGGTATGGACAGCAAAGGTGCTGTTGGAGCCAGAGATTCCAAGAAGCAACTTCCCCATTGTACAGGAGGTAGCGGTTTTACTTCGAATCAAAGATCGAACAAAAAAAGATTCTACTGTGATCCCAACCCTCAGGCCTTGACATACTTGCTAATATAGGAACATATCCATAATAATATATTTAGTTTATTTCTTGATAGGTATAGAATTAGGTATTTCATAAAATAATTTAATAAATTTAATAAATATTGATACCCATAAAGGAATAATTATGAAAAAAAAAAACTAAATTCATTTTGGAAATAATTTTATTTATTTATTAATATATTATTACATAAAACGGGACGCCTGTCGAAAAAGTGGGCGCCCCTGTCGGAAACCCGACACTTGTAGCCGGAATTGATCCAATACATCATGTAATTATGCCAAAAGTCCCAAATTTTCCGGAAATTTCGGACGAAACCCCGAATTTTCACGGAAATTTGGCGATTTAGGAATTTCTTAAAGTGGCAAATTTTCCGGAAAATTGGTACTTCGGGATTTTGACTGAACCGCGAAATTTTCCCGAAAATTGGTGCTTCGGGAGGTGGACTCAACCGCGACTTTTGGCAGAATAACTCGCATCGCAATGCCTGATTTGGGGGTACCCGAATTTAAGGACTTATATATTAATTAAATATATATGTATATTTATTTTTGATTTATTTATTTAAATGATGTATATATATATATATATATTTTTTAAAATTATATATATATATATTTGAAATATAATATATTATATATATATATATTTTAATATTATATATATATATGAAAATATTTTATTTTTAAATATAATATTGTTGTTTTTGATATTTTGTATTTGATATTTTATAATTGATATATATATATATATATGGTTTTTTATATA